CTGATTCATGACACTCTCTGGTAGCCACAGCAACAGCATCCTCGGCCCCAGAAAAACAGGCTGCATTTTCCTCAAGCAGAAAGCAAAAGGGATGCTCGTACATTTGTGTAACAGGGCATAGGATACCCAGTCAAGAACGAGGACCTGACAGGACTATATACTCCACAGACAAAAAAGAGCATTACCTATGTCTCACAGCAAGTTTTATAACTCCTGGCAATGTAAGAACTCTTTTCTCAGTTTACAGATAAGGAAATGAATAAAAACCGGCACCAAGTCACTCCCTCATTCAGTGACAGAAGCAGGCACACAAAGCTTACCCTCTTTGTGCTTTTCTGTCTCTAAAGATAACATGATCGACATACAGGAACAATAAGATGATTTCCAAACTGAAGAATTCTATCCTGACCATCAGGGGTATTTTGGCAGTAGATTTTTTTCTTCTCTCCCACCCTCAGTTTTCGCTTTAAGGAAACTTGCCGTACAGTTCTTGCTTTGCACATTCAGTACCATAAGAAAAGGTAAGCAGAGTAATTTGTGCTTAAACATAATAAGAACAGGCTTAAGTTCTCCTTTATAGCTGAATCCTGTAAATCCTAACGGTGGTCTTATACGTAGGTCTCAGTTGTGCTATCCTCATCCTAAGCCCCCATATTTCAAAGGCTAGGAAAATCTATTCACTTTGAGACGTAGGTTGTTAACCAGAGGAGCGATGTAGTGGCTCTGATTACCACAAAAGCCCAAATATTTTTAATTGGTCTAAAAGGCATTAGTGTAAGACTTGATGGCTGAACACAAGACAAAGAAGAGTTTGTCATTTTAGATCTCTCTGCTTTATTGTTAAAAAAAAAAAAAAGACTGGTTTGCTTACCATTTTCTCTGCATCTGAGTCAGCCAGCCTTTTCAGCAGTGCTCCTTGCTGCTCCATTATCTTCTGAGCATCCTTCTACAAAGGAAATATGTGAGAAAAATTGTCAACTAAAAAGTCAATTTCATACAGCTTCTTTAAACAGAACTGGGCAAATCTACCATTTCCTCCCAGTTGCAGCAGCAATTCTCAGAAGACACCCAGGAGCCTGAAATTTTCTAAATATTTCACGTATCATCACCCATCTCAGAAAGCTTTTCCACTTCTCAGTCAAAGATCATAATAAAAAGCAGGATGGCAATTTAAGATCTTGGCAACCTCTCTTGCTACTCAGGGAAAGTCATGTGGAAGAACTCAGTCCTTTTATCCAGGCTCACTGGTGGCTGAAAGACCTGTTAGGATCAGCCTGCTTTTGTTCAAATGGAATATAAACTACAGGAGGAACAGCAATTTCATTTCTGTATTGCTCTTACAAGCAGTTTAGAATTGTTCCGTACAAGCAGTACAGAACTGTTTACAATTCCTCTGTTATTGCTCTTGCAACCTACAGAAACAAAGCTCTGAACATCCTTAGGCTCCCATTAGCTAAGGCTACATCTAGTCCTCAGACTTCAGCCAATGCAGCTGCAGCAGGAACATTTCAGGCTAGCATGAGCAGCAGGTACAGCTGTATCCAGACGAGAAAGAGCTGGCAACACAGCAGTGCCTGTACCTTTTAACACAGTCAAAGACTTAGATGGTTTAACATCCTCACAGCAGATAAATCAGTCTTACTTTATGAGGTACACAGGGATAAAAAACCCAAACTATCTATCTTTTATGACACAGTCAACAGCAGGGTTGGGAGGAAAAAAAAAAAAAAAGAGGAGTTAAAAGCTCTCAAACTCCATTTCAGTGCACAAGCCAACACAGCCTCCTGTAATCATCCAAGTTCAAGCACACAGCCCTGCCCACCTCCCGGTTGTGCTGCTCTCTGAGAAGTTCTCGCAGTGTCCGGTTGGTTTCTTCAAAGGTGCTCAATTTCTGGAGCAGAAGCTCTTTTTGTCTTGTCAGTGTGTTAATGTCTGAGCTGCTCATGTGTTTCTCCTAGAGGAAGACCAAAAAACAACAACAACAAAAGAATTGTTCACATGGAATTACTGTACGAAGCCGATACACGCATGAGCAGCGCGATAGTCAGCACCACGTGGGCAGAAGGTGACTGGACGCTGCAAGTAAATACCCACTTCCAAACACAACTAGCAAACACCCTAAAGCATGTTAAACCCCTCCACTTCTCCTTACATTTTTCTCGATCAGCAACTGTGACGTTACATTTTTAAGACACTCACGTAACAGGACACCACAGCAAAGGCAAGAACAAAAAAGAAGAAGACCTACAATGTTGAGTCTCCCGATTGTATTTTTGAGGGCATGAATCTGCCTGGCTGCTGCTGCTCCATCCCTTTCTGCCTCGCTCAGCTTGGACATCAAACTCTCTTTCTCACGCTGTAAGTACTTTTTCTGTAGCCTGCAATGAGAATTCAGCCATTAGAAGAACAAGCAGCTTTGCCAGCTGTAACCAGTCACTATTGATGCGCAGTTGATTGGGTCAAAATTCATAAAACCCCTCGAATCAGAGGATAAAAGCTCTAAACCAACACTGCTTAAGAATTACCCTCTTTCAGTGTGGAAACTGTTCTGACAGAAGCCAGTAAGCAGACACCAGGAGCCTGCTAGGACCACAGCTACGAAAGAGGAATTTAGAGGGTATACATTGGGCTTATACCAAAGCCTGCACACACTATTAAACCCAAAACACAATGCTGTGCTTCTCCTGGGCACTTAGCCACATCAGAAATAAGACTCCAAATGGCTGAATATGAAACAGGAAAGCCTACCAAGATTTATAACTCAAAGTTTTTAGCCATGGCTCTTAATCTCAGAAGCATTCAAAGTTTTCTGGAAAAAGGAATACATGGTATTAACTTCCAAGTAATCTTTTTTAAGGAAAAAAATAAACTAACTCTTTTAAAACACTAGTGTCCCCCTGGAGACACAAACTTCCCCAATTCTTTAGATACGAGGCAGATCCAAAACACATCAGACTTGGAGACCTTCAGGGTCACTAAGAAAAAAAAAAAAAATCATGATTCAGTCCTCTTTGGGGCTGTCACTCTTGTCTCAGTATGATTGTCACAAAGGCCAAAAATTCTCCTTTAGTTTTCAGCTCCATGTTTATTCATTTGTTGTTCTCACAATTCAAACAGAATCTCTTAACCTTCAAAATATTAACTGCAGAGCTAGGCTGACCCTCCAGTGGGCCACACGAGCCAACTGCTCTCAGGTTCCTCTCAGAGTCGTTTTTTTCCACTCCAATAATCATGCTAGAGCCCTTCTCTGCAGCTATTGCCATCCGAATTCCCCCTTCCGAAAGGTGACCAGAAATCCAAGAAGATCGGTTCTTCAGCAGGGTACACACTACAACCTCAAATAATATTAGCCATAAAGGAGGTAGGTGCCCTGGAAATACCACTACTTGCAGTAACAACGGAGAACTGGAGCTTTCTTACACAGTCAGATCCTTCTCTTCCTTTATGCGCTCAATATTGCGCCTGAGCAGCGTATTCTCGTGTTCCGTTTCCACCAGCTCTTGCGTGACCTCATTCAGTTCCTTCTGCTCCTCAAGGAGACGCTTTGTCATTTGCTGCTGTTCCTCCTTTTTCTGCAGCTTGGTCTGATGGAGATATTTAAATAGAACTGAAGACAAACCAGGTGCTTTTAAAGGGATACACAGAATCCACATCTCAAACCAGTGAACTAGCTGCTCAGCCGCACCAAGCAACGAAGGACCATGTTCTGTTTTGTTTTTTTCCTAGATAATTCCAGGCTGTTCCCACCCACAAAGGGCATCATTCACTTCTTATTGCCTGGAAATGCCTCTCATCCCACAAACACAGGGCGACACAAGCATCCTAGCTCTAAGTCCAAAAATTGTCATCAGCCGCGAGACATGTGCCAGACCTCAAACGTGGCAGGAAAGCGCTGGTAGCGGTTCACATGCTGGAGATGGCTCCCATTGCTCCACTATTGCTTTGGGAGACCCAGGGAACTGGGTGAAATCAACCTAAATAGTCCCTGGTATTTTGTTTCCATCTACCTGTTCTGGATTACTCAGCAGGTTGTGTGGCAGCTCAGTGTCACTGCTGGTAGCGTGACTGGAGTTGTGTACAGACTACTCAAGAGCTGAATAGGGCTCAGGAGTTGACTACTGCTCCTCAGGAATGACATGAGCATCCCATTAGGCAGTTAAGAGCACTACAAACAGTTGAAGATGTGCAAGAAGAGAGAACATAGAAGGGGGTGAATTACTGAATCAGACTTGATTCTTTTGGCAGCAAAAAAGGTCACTGGAGATTCCCTGGCTTGTACAGAATTAAAGCTAACACAATTAATGTGATCTTACACCATGGAATTAGTTAAGCGACACCATCAAACATTTAGACTCAACTTATTAAAAGCACCAAAACGGATTCTTTGTTTTACAATCATGCAAGTAATTCCATTAAATTCTGTAGCATAAACAGAATGGAAAACACATAAGACTACTTGACTCAAACCATATTCTTGTTCGCTGCTTTGAACTTTACGTAGTTTTGAGTAAAATAATAATAGTACAAGATCTGCTACCCGCACTGTTAACTCTAAGTTCAAAACGCAGTTTGCCCCTAAGATAAAGCAACTTATGAAATCTGGAAACAATTCCTACCCATCTGTTAAATGGTGTCGAGTACGGAAGAAGCTATTTATCTGGAAAACACATCATCACTGGGATGTACATTTTGAAACAGAATCAGAAGAAACAATCTTGTTGAGTAAGTGGATTCTTTGACAATAAAACATCATCCTACTGTATTTCTCATCTCCTGGAAGGACCAGTTTTCAGATTTGGGCCTTGGGCAGAAGACAGATTATTTGGAAACTGAAGCACAGCAATACTGTATGAAATGGATAATGTTTTAAAACGTGTCATAGTAGGGCTTAGTGAATTTCTCCCTAGGATAGTTCAGCTCTCCTAAACAACTCTGATTTTTGCTTTTTCAAGCAAGCTAACCAGAGGCCTGGGTAATCTGCCATTGCAACAAGACTGGACTCCAGTCTCCAGTTGCCAAACGATCAGCTACAAAGCCTGAGTCAGCAGGTCTTCACACTATCTCCTCACCTCATTCGTCAGTGTTCCCAACACATTCATCAGGCTATCGATCTTCTTTTCATATGCATTCATTTTGCAGCAAACAGCATCCTCCTCATCTGTAGAGAGGTCACTCAGGCGCGTTACTGACAGCATTTTTTCTGAATCTGGAGGCGTAATTTCTAAGCGATGGGTTGGTCCCTGGTAGAAAAGCAATAAAGGGCAGGATTTTTTGGTATAAAGTTATAAACAGTATTCTAACTCTAACTCTGCCAAAACCAGAGACCAGGTCACATCACTGTAATAAGGCTAGTAAGGAAAAAACCATTTGTAAACAGCTCTCTCATTTCCATCAGGGAAGGATAAGAATGAAGAAAGACTAGAACAGAAAAAGAAAAAAAATAACGACAGTTCAAATTCTCATCTAAGAAGAGCCAGGAATACAAACGGTGAAACTATCAACCCATGAGAAAGAAATTATCACACAATACCACACAAATGCTCCATGCTGCGGAAGAGACTGAGAACAGCAGCCCCTCGCTGTGCCTCCAGATGAGATCTTGAAGGGGACTAGTAAAACTACAAAAACCAAAGAAATTTGCTTGGCTTCTAGGGGCAGAAAGGCATGATACTGCCATAAGCTGCTGATTAACTTCCAATTTTTCTATATTAAAAAGTGAAAAAGATTTAGAGAAGACACTTAAAATAGATGGCAGGCAACAGTAGTCTTCTTTCAGATCAGCCCGTTTCCCTCACCATGCCTCTGCTTTCTTCAACCTCAGATAAACCTGAAAGGTTGTTTTAAAGAGGGAATCAGCCGTACCTCCCATTTGTGGGTGGACTCCCGGACAGATGTTTTGCCTGGGGGCATCCAGGGGGCCTTAGCTTTTGCGCGGACAGCTCGGCACATGTTCATGGTATCCCCTTTGACTTTCTGTTTGTGCTTTTGCTAAAGAAAAAAATAAAACAAATCACAGACTTTTAAAGAACCATTTAAAATTTTTAGTGCTGCAAAGATAAATGAAAGATGATTCATACAAAAATAGTCAGTTTCACATGATACGTCAGATCAGACGAGCCAGCAGCCCTCAGAAGAGGCCAACGCCAGCCAGCACGGCAGGTGCAGCACACGCTGCTCTGCGGCACAGTGACTCCGTTACCTGGGATACCTGCACTTGTGATGTGATGAGAGCCTCACCCAGCAGGCCAGGGGTGGGAGACTGGGGCCGGGGGGAAGGAAGTCTCCTCTGTATGGAGATACACACAAAAACACCGCAACACAACCCGCTCACGTGAAGAAGGAACAACGTGGGAGATCCCTTCTCCGTGCCAGATTCATCTCACAAAAGAGCAGCTGTATCATTTGACAACAGCTTGACCAGAGGAAAAAAAGGCCAGGGCAGCGCGACTGGTTATGAAAAGCCCCTGAAGCATTTTCCCTGCTTTGCAGTCAGCTAGTAGATCCACGTTTATTTGGACTGAACTCGAGGTGCTCTAACTGAAGGAAAGGTAAAGTGGTTTTGCACAATTCTAACCTTAGAGAAAAAACATATATTCTAAATATTCCCTACAAGCAATTAATTAATAGGAGTCATTGATTTCACCATCAGGGCCTACCCCATTATGAGATTTGCCATTAGCCACGAACACAAAATTCACAGAGGACTTTGAACAGGATGTCTGCACATAAGGAAGAACGAGCCAGCACCTTCCATCACCTTTTGAGAACAACTTTACGTAAACATCCAACTACAAAAGAGGATATGAGATAGCTAGAAACTCAGCTGCAGTATTGCCTTCTGCCTACTGTGGACGAGGCTATGAAGAGATCCTCTTTGCTGCACAGCTTGGCAGACTGTGAAGGTGCTCAATGCCAGAAGATGGTTTGAATCCAGGTCGTTTTTTTTTCTAAACACATTTATTTTAATACAATCAAGATTGAATTTGAAATGCCTAGATATTACCTTTCCCCAAACCTTTCCTACAAAAATAGGGATGAAGACAAATAAAAACCATTATCAGGACACAAATCCAGGAAATAATAAAAGAGAAAAAAAAAAATCCCCCAAACCACATCACATCAGAAGCAACACTCCTCCCAATCACACACTTGAATATGACAAGTAACTATATATTCCATATCATACTTTAATGGCCTTAAACACAGAAGATGTGTTACTGAAAATTCACCATCGAACATGAATTCAAGCCTCACAGTTCTAATACAACGGTAAAACAGACCTTGAAGACTTTGAGGTGCTTTTAGGCCCGTTCACCTTCCTCCCCGTAGCCCTTGCAAACACCCAGCTACACGCTCCTACCTGGCATTTTGCAGGGGTGGTTTTCTGACCCTTTTTAATATGAACATGGACAGGGGTGTTTTCATCCACATGGACGTGCAAAGGGGGAGATGAGGAACGGTTCTTCATGGCTCTTCTCCCACAAATGGGAAAGGACAATACAATGAAAGGAAACCTGCGAATAAGGAAACTGGAAATAACACCACTTCCCCCTGCGCCAGAGTAACAACGGCCAGCTTTGGTTAAAGCTTGAGCTTTCTTTCGGTAGCATCTGCCATTTTGAATTGCACACTATTTTGCGGTAAAGCTAGGGTTAGTGCAAATAATTTATCCGATTCTGGTATTTTCTGCTCTTAACGTGATTATTAAAGACCAAATACCGTTGGATTGATAGTGGGTGTCTGTTAGAGTCACTGGAGTTCAAAGTCAGAGTAAGTGAGCAAATCAAGGGTTGAGTCACCAACACAATCTGATTATGAAGATAAATTTGAAGGGGGGAGAAAAGGAGCTTTGATTTAACAGTTTAGTTAAGAAAAACCAAGAGGAAACCATCAGATCCTTCCATCCCAGCACCCTGAGCCTGTAAACGCTTTCGTATGTGCTTAGCTTTAAGCGCATCTTTGAAGTTAAACAAATGCTTAAAAGCTTTTGGATCACAGCATTTCTTCAATCTTCAGAAAAACACCCATAATCTTAACCAATATCTAATGCAACATGGATGAGCCAACAGACCCAAGGTTAAAGTTACCACTTTTGAGCTTGATGCTTCAGCTGAGGTAATGGTATAACGCAACTGTGAATCTTACGAAAATCCACCAGCAGCACTAATTAATTCTGGCAGAAAGGTTTTTGTCAGCCTAGGTAAAATTACTTACAGTTATTCTAAAGCCTTTAGCTCTTCTGGACAGCGTGCTTTGCGCAGAGACTGAAGTCACTTGATGGTTGAGGGGTGAGGGACACCTGATACAGAAATAATAAAATGACCACTAAGAGAAAAAAAGTGCCAATTTCTGAACATCCTCTTCATTTCGATTTAAGGAGACACGCAGGCTCAAACACAGCAAATGTATGAACGCAAACAACGAACGTTGGTGTCTCCTGGCTTCCTCTGACAAGCATGGGATGAGGGAAGGACAGAGACTGTAATTCCTTATATATTGATGATGAAAGTTGGTTTAAACAAAGGAGAAAGTTTTGTACAATTACACAACGGCTTTACCCCAACAGGTACAAACCTTCAAATTCTAACCGCAATTTTTAACAAGTTTCATAAGGAAACAAGGTTTGAACAGTTCCAGGGCACCTGCACATCCCCTCCCAAAGCCCATGCCCTCCCTAAATTCTGCCATCATCAACAAATTCTGTAAAACCTGACAGAAGAGTTGAGATTCTAGGTTTGTACAGTTCTGCAGGCTGAAGAGGTGCATCAAATTAGCGCTCACGCTGAAGGAAACCCAGCACCACACAGCCTTGTGCTGCAATGGGCTCACTGCCTGCCCAGCAGATAAGTGTGTACTGGTTGGCTGACCAGTAGCACACACAGAACTGGGAGTCAGCTCCAGCATGAGCAGCTTCTTGCCTGCTGGTACTTGGGGGACTTGAAGAAACGAGAGTGAGGGAGGAGGGATCCCTGAAGGACTAACGTCTGTTGGGGAGCGATGAAGCACCGGGTTGGAGCGGTGGTCTCTCAGGCTGTCAGCCAACCTGAGGGTAACACTCCTTCATCATTTGGGACGTAAGAACAAGCGTTACAAGTGAAGTGTTGACTGTAAGGTGGTAGAGCAGGATTTTGCACACCACTTCTGCTAGACTAGAATTAAGATCACTTGTAGCTTATTGACTGTCAGCTTGCCCAGGTCCACGTAACAACCCGCTCTACATAAAACTAATCATACTGTATCTGTTTTTAAGCAGGACGTGTTTAAGACAACACACCCCTGTATATCACATCACATCAGATTTATGAAAACGACAGCGGGGAAGACACAGCAAACATCCCTTGGTCAGGAACGGGAAGCGACAGTTCCTGCAGGAACAGAATTCCCCAGCTTCCAGCGACGAACAACTCCAAACACCGCTGGGTGATTTAACCGTCTTCTTTCCAACGAAGGCTTAAGCTCTCCCCAAGCCCAAGGGTGCACCATCGGCTGCAGCTCCAGACTGGGAACTTACAGAGCTGGTGACTCACCAGAAGGGAGAC